CAGTGATAATTGAAGCCTTGGAACTATGATCTATAAATAGAAAAATTACTTTAGCACATTCCACGAATAACATCAGAGATCTTGATCTCTATCGAGAAAAGCGATAACTTGGAAGACCTTAGATATTGCGTAGAATCCTTAATCTTCCAGGTCTGGAAGAAGACCCTGGTTGAGATTGACCATGACTACCCACAGAGAATAAGAAAAAACTATTTTATTAATTACTAAACCACGACACCGAAACTTGTGAAACTTCTTTGAACACTAAATTACCCTAAATTGTTAAAATAATCGATAATCCCCATTATTTGATAGGCATTTCTCCGTAAAATATACTATTTAATACTATTTAAAGTCTTTTTTTAAATACCTTGGGTCCACTCTAATACCAAATGGCCAGGCAAAAGACGATATTGTAGCCCGGATCACCGCAGCTAGAAATGGATTCTTCCGGTTGACGAAACCTCAATGGAGCCGTCGTGAAATTACCATTAAAACGAAAGTCCGTATCTATATAGCCTTAATTCGTTCGATCTTGCTATATGGTTCTGAGATATGGCCAATGAGAGTGGAGGATATTAAGAAGCTATCTGCCTTTGACCACTTTTGTCTAAGGTATATTTTACGGGTCCGTCGAACGGAAAAATATCACATGATCGCATCCATCTTCGCTCAAACACCATCTAATAATGTTATCACAGAGCGTCGCCCTTGGTGGTTAGGGCTTATTCTCCGTAGTCCACCACAAGAGTTGTCGCATATTTCGTTACTTGCTAAACCATGTGATGGATGGCAAAATCGAGATGAGCCAATCAAGACTTGGACTGATACGGTCAGGAAAATATTTTGAACGCATAGATGGACCAGCAATAGATGAACTTAGACGATGGAAAAAACGATGGAAAAAGGAATGGCTTCTATTACTGCCGACGATGGCATCAGACCGCGCAATTTGGAAGCGTCTTACCTTTGTAGCCGTTGGAGCCAGCCTAACCAGTAATGGTAAGAAGAAGAAAAAGTAAATACTATTTCCTCGAAGGAAAGGAAAGGAAAAGGGAAAAAGAAATCAAAATAGCGACGTAGGGTTCAGCTGACGACAATGATCCTGGATACTGTATGAAAAAAAGATACATCTTTTAAATGTTACCTCTACGACACGACGACCTCTGCTACCAAAAGCGTACAAAGCCATTCCTTCATAACTCCTCCGCCTTAAAACGAATTATATTTTAAAAAACAACAGTCTCACGGAATTGAAAATTTTTTCATACAGCCTCGATTTTGTTTGAAAACTACATTATCTTAATCATTTAAAATCAAACAATATATATCGAAATTCAATTCATTTAGTGTTGTCCGTCATTTCGACCTCTAAAAATTCCAAACTGATCTCATATCAAGCTTAATGAACCAGTAGATACCTTTTTTATCTGTTAAACATTGAAACATTTATCAATCGGATTTAACTAACACTCATTCATTTCGATTTCACAACAAACTAAAAACTGCGTTAATCATAGTCTCACATAGGTTAACCACTTCATTTCGGGGTTTTACATATTTTTATAATAACTTCATTTGCTAAGATTTACATTTGTATAACAAATCATTTTGCTACTTCGGTACTACGTAATGTATAAGAAAATGCATTCATAAAAACGGTATTTTTAGAGGAAAAATACTGTCAAATTGGCTATCAACTCCTCCGTAACATTTTCTAAAAAATTCTATAATGAGCATTATTGTTTTAATTCAACTGTCATATTACCAAATTCATTTGAATATATTAAACAGTTGTTTAATATAAAGAATCTTATTCTGAGATAAAAGACGATAAAGAGAGAAAGCATATTCAAGTGAATTCAATTAGACATATTCTTGAATGATAAAAAATTGATAAAGTTACCTTGTCAAAAGAGCTCCTTTATATAGCAAATGGCATGTAATTTTCGTAAGAAGTGAACATACTGCAATTAGCACCGTGCCCAACAATATTCCACACTTGAATTAATTACTTCATAAATTTTATAAAAAGGATTTTATAATGATTTTATATTTTACTAATAATTTTCCCTCAAATTTTAGACACTTTTTTATTTAACTTGAAGCCAGAATAGCCAAAAGGCTGATGCAAATATTATCAGCATCGAGATTTCAAATCCTGTCTCCGTTAAGAGTAAACCAGTTGTTAAAAAAAACCGAGTAAACCGGAACGACTCGGACTTCTGTCGTCAAATAATTTCGTCATAAAACTTCTGATCGTACTAAAAGACTAACAGCGAGTGGAGCCAACCTAATCAGAAATGATGAGCGCCAAAGACTTAATTATCATTTAATTGACTTTTTATAAATAACCCATAAAAAAACTTGGCTAAATCGAATAAATAAATTATGAAGAAATTTGACATTTACCATTAATCAATTGATAAAGCTACTTTGCCTGTTGGATAATAAATAAAAAATCTACGAATGTTCGAAACTTCAATTACGATTATAGTGATCAAAAAACTGCACCACATGCGGCCTCGTGGTGCAACGCGTAACGCGTCGGATAACGCGTCGGTCTACGGAACCGAAGATTGCAGTTCTCTCGATCATGGAAATAATGAAGCAATAACTTAATAACAAAGCTATTACATCCTTTTCAAAGCTTAATAATTAAAATTAATAATTAAAGCAAATTTGCAAATCAAATAAATCAAGCAAAAACTATTGTTCATTAGGCAAAAAATAAGTTCAAAAGACTACAGACCAGAGATCCCCTAATCTCTTCGAAACTACAAAGTCATTTACCATTAGATAAAGCCTACGGAAATTTTCATAAAATCTATGGACACAAAAATAATTTTTAGAAATAAAATAAACAGAATTATGAAGGAAATGTGATGAAAAATTATCTGATTTCTATTGGACGTGTAAGAGTAGCTGCTTATTTCCTGTTTCCTATTAATGAAAGCATAAATTTTTCCACACAAGTTCTCTTGAAATCTATATGCTCCATAAAGAAGGGGAATATCTGGTTAATATATGGCTTAGAGCCGTTGTGAGACTAGATGGGAGATATTTCAGAAAAATGATAATGAAAAATTCCTCTAGGAGTTCATCCAGACAGACAAACCAATCAACCAGATATAGTCGTAACAGACAAAGATCAGAAATTAACACTGGTGATAAATATATCAAGATAATGTTTGGAAGAAGGAAGGTGAAAAGTTAGAGAAATATCAGAAGTTGAAAGAGGAACTAGAGAAGAGGTGAAAAGTGAAGGCAAAATGATTCCAGCTATAACTGGAGCATTTGCAACTGCTATTCCCTATTCCTAAACTAGAAAAGTGACTTCAACAGGAACAAAATCAGAGATCTCTATCCAGAAGGGCGCAGTGTAGAAAAAGCTGAGATATTGCGCAGAACCGAGGTTGTAGATGATTTTTACCACCCACAGAGAATGAGATATATATATATATAGCAATGATTAATATGGAATAACAACAATTCGAATTGCAATCAATTCTCTCTCTCTATCTTTCTATCTTTGAAAGAGACCCTATGAAATTTTAATCTCGGTATAGGAACCAAGGTTGAGGGTGACCCATACCGTATACCACCTATGGGGAATGATAGGGGATTATTATATTTCATTTCCCTAAAAATGTTGCATTTTAATCGTAAATTTGAATTGAAATCACGAATTATTAAATAGACACCGTTTTCAACAACTCTTTCCGATTAAATTCATGAATTTCTTCTTAATTTCTTTAATTTCTTTTTTTATGGAAACTCTTGTACTCTTGAATTCGATATATTTTTTGAGAAACTTTTTAACAAAACGGCTGCAGAAATTTCAATAAATGATTAGAGAAAAATCATAGTGGGTGAGGATTTCCCAAATAAGTTCTTTGATAATTTGGCATGCGTTTTTTGAAACATCACATCGTACGCATTTTGAAGGATTAAACGTTTTTTCTAGCTATTGCAGGCAATTAAATGAAAAATTTATTTTTGAAAGCGTTTGCATTGTTTCAATAACATCAAAAGTGATAATTTGACGGGACAGTTGAAAACCATTAGCATCTACGATTACCGTAGGTTGCCAATATCCACAGTAAAAATTCTAGGTGCTGAAAATAACCCTCTTCCGGTTTAGGAAGAAGAGAAGCATCTACTGATGATCTGATGATTGTTGAAGAGAGCGCTCATCGGCAAGTCGATGACTGACCTTAAATAACTTCTCCATGGCTTGAAAATAATGAAACATTGTTTACCTGCTATAAACCTTTTTTTTTTAATTTCAACCAATGTTTGTCTTGTTTCGGATCACCTTCGACTCGAGAGTGCAAAAATTTTCATGAAATTTTGCAAGTCTACAAGATCTTTGAAATGAAATCATTACTTTTAAACTTCGAAAACCACTATTGGCTCTCTCACAACCACTGCTTTCTGATACTTACTGCTTTGGTTTATTACTTACTGCTGTTATTGCATTATTTCATTCGACGAAATTTACATAACATACAATGCCGCAAATATCCATCAAATGTCTCTCCACATTTTATTTTCATCAAACCCGATAAAAAAAAAAAAAAAACATAATCATTGCTATTAAACTTTATAAATATCAGAAATTACCAGTGCTTGCTCTTTTTAGGAAAAATCATTTCGCTTCAGAAAATCATCACTTCAGAAAAAGTTAATAGGAGGGTGCGTCGTTAAGTTATTTAGGAGATAGATTTCTAATCTTTCTAATCTGAAGGGGAAAATCATGTTAAAATAAATTTAGCTGCTGCCAAAAAACCATCAGCACTTCTATCTTTAAGACTCTTTGGCGAGAATTTCAGTTTAGCAGAACAATCGAAAGAGCCGTTAAAAGATTTGCTCAATAATTTACTGTAGTACATTTTTGTATTCGCCTTCGGATACGGCTTTTTGAAAATCCTTGAAACTGCTCTATGCACACAGAGCCTGGCATACTTTCTCTTTTAAGTGGACCAATAATGCCCATTTTAGCGATCCGCACTTTGCGGTTTGGCTAGCGCCACTGATTGGACAGAAAGTGCAAATGAGTTCTCGAAAAGTTTTAATCCATTTGAAAGGCATACATCGAAGCCAGAACTCAGCAACATCCCACTATTTCTCTCCGTAAAAATAAAATAAAACAAATGAAATGAAACTTGGATAACCTGTTGCAAGCAATATGGCATAGCAAGAATACTCACTCCAATTATCGAATTAGCCAAATTAAAAACATGTGGCCAATGATCGAAATGCACAAACTGTTTGCTACTTCGTTCCACTGAATTCCATTTTTGTTCACTTCCCGTGGTACCATCTTCAAGAAGTAATTCTCGATGATCGTCCAAGCGTTTCTTCATTCTTTCTTCTTTTTACTTCCTTTTTTATATGAAAGAAATAAATACACAAACTACACGTAAAGCGAACAAACTATCCAAATCACTGAAATCCATAGCCATTCAAACAAAATCCATAAAAATTTGTTTGCTCTTTGCTAGTTTAGGTTAGTTCTTTGTTAGTTTAAGTTCGGCACGGCCCGCTTCGAGAAAACAACGCCCCGATTGCGCAGCTTGCGGCCCCTTTACATTCACACCTGTTCACGCTCATCTTGGCAAGACGACTTTTCGCATTTCTTAATTGAAAAACTCTTCTAGACCGAATTTCGCGTTTTTAAAATAATTCCTTTCTGCATTTACTTGGCACCATGCGTCATCGCCAAGCTTGTGCTGCCACGTTAGGCTTTGGAGAAAAAGAAAGGAAGCGTGCCTATCACCGCGGCCCGACCTGGCGTTCAGGCGGCTAAGAATAATCTGCGCTCCAAGTGACAAACATCGAAAAAAATCCGCTCTCTCTCCATTGTTCCTAAAATTCGGGTGATTTTAACGGAAGACTTGTATAACGTCGTGTTATCGATGTTTTGCGTGAAAAAAATTGCGTGGAATTTCAAGGTTTATGTTTCGTCCTCTTCGTAAAGGGCATCTTTAAGAGCTCAAAAGGCAAGTGAGTACTCCTGTAGAATGCACACTTATTGGTAGCTGGAGTGGAGATGATAAGGGCCTTTAAAATTTCCTTTCATTATCTTGCATCTCACGAATCGTTATTTATCCTCAATCTACCAAGTTGAAAAAAGGCAATAGAAATACGTGCGCGGCCAGCACCATTCGGATTTTTTAGTGGTGGTTCTGTCGTTTCCTCTCAAAAAGGAATAGTGATAAATCTATGTTATTTAAAAGATCGCGGATATTGGCTGATAATCGTAAGGATTCAAAGCATTAGTCAAATTGGAGTTGAAAGCAAAAAGGCACCAAAAAACTATCTGAAATCCTTCGACAAAATTCATTTCGGTGGTGTTTTGGTGTTCTTTCATAGTTTAACTCAACGAATGCCTTTGAATAACACATTTGAGATTGGTTTGTTTGCTCGCATTGGCTTTTAAAAAAAAACGTGGAAAGAGAAAATCACTTCGAAGAAAACGTAGAATTATGCAAATTTGTTTAGTGGAATTGCGTCAAAGCGCAGAAATGAGAAGAATTTCAATCAGTCGAAACACATTCCTCCACTATCTCGCGGAGCATTCGTTCATTCGAGTTCGATTTTGACTTCGCGAAAAAAATGAGCGATTCGAGTGATGTGTAATGAATTTAATGATCACTGTTCATTCAGCAGTTGCGCTGAGGAGATTACAAGTTTCGAGGAAATTTCTCTCATTTCGATTTGCACAAACTGAAATTCACTCGCGTCGAGTCGGTCTGATGAAGAATATCTTCGAGAAGGTTTACTATTTTCTTCGATTATTTCTTAATGCATCAAATTTCGTTCGAATGGAAAACTTCCTCGCGCAAAATTCATCCTTCATCAATTCATTCTTCCTTTCTTAATAAAAATTTTTCAAAATTCCTAATTTTATTCTAAGAAATTTTTTTTTTTTTGTTTAAATTTCCGAATAATTTATTTGTTATTATTAATTTTCTGTTGTTTACAATCTTCTGAATTTTCCAAACTTCTCAAGCATTTATGATCGATAAGCAAGCAAATAAATTATTAAAGGTGCGCGAGGAGATAGATGAAGCAAAATGGAGATGTTCACCGCATGGTGGCTTTAGCCTTAGGCCGCTCGATACATTCAAAAGCATCGTTTCTTCAACGTTGGTCTTTCATAGCACCTTGTATCTTTACAGTTTTACAATTCAAATTTCGACTCATTCATGAAATTTTACTTTTTCCCGTCAAATGAAATAAATCGAACGTATGATGCTTGGCTTTAGTCAAAGGAAGGTAACATTTGAATCGTTGAAAGTCAACTCTCAATTTTGAGCTATTTTTTGAAAATTTTTAGGTTATCTTAATTTTTTTTCATTCTTTTTTGTGCGAGCCAAAGAGAGACTTTTTTATCGATTCATTTACATTCATTTTCCGTTTTTTTAAGATCGAATTTTATTGAACGCTTTAAATTTCAATTTATTAGTGACGAAATCACACACAACTGCTATCAGCATTTTAAATAGAGAATCAGTTATATGTGTTATATTATAAATATTATTGCATTTTTCTGGATGGTGAAATTTTGCTAAATAAGCCAAAATTTCAGATTTTCTCCTGTTGAATCAATATGGCGAACGGCAAGTCATTGCTCATTTTATGAAATGTATCACCCAGAACTCGGCAATTTTCGTCGATCGAAAACTTACTCTTCATTAGCGCCAAGTTATGGGATACCTTATCGGTGAATTTTTTTGCTAGTCTAAGAATAAAGGTTAAGGAATAAATGCAGGGGTAGAACAGTGATAATCCAGTGTCCTGCGACTAAGCTTAAACCAGTTTCCTTTTCTTGGTTAAGAAAAAACTATGATACCTATGACGCTACCTGCATCAAGTGATTTTATAGCGAAAAAGTAACATTTTAGTAATTAGTGAAATTAGCCAAAACAGAAATGGTGAATTTAATAAAATTGTTGAATATATTTAATGAAAATAAAAATTTAGAAATCGCTGTGTCAATATGCTATTTGCACCATATCGCAGTTACGAGCCAAAACAAGAAGAATGGAAATATATGATGGAACGCTCATCTCGTCCAATAGCTCACGTTAAAAATCTCTTCGACACCTTGCCAAAAAGTGTTAGTTATTAAATTAGTTTTACATTTAACTATCTTCTATAATATCTTTTAAATTAATGTAAAATTTTGAAATGTTGGCCTTCAGATTGGTCTTCAGAAACAGCAATCGATCAGTCGATTTGGGAGTCGAAATCGAAATCAAAGGACTTATTATGTACCAACGTCCACAACCAGATTTCAAAATTACGATTTATATTGGAGAGGTTCAGTTTATATCGAATAATTCTGGCGATCCATCTGCGCTGCTATCACTATGTGGTGTGGACTTATGGCAAGAAATGCTTGTGGTGCTAATAGCCAGTGGAATTGATTTGACCAGAAATAATGAGCATTAATCACCACCGACTATTATTTGAATCCACAAATTCTCTAACTCTCCTAATACATAAAAAAATTCGTTTCTTAAATAATTTTTAAGTTATTTATTTAAATAATTTTTATTGAGAAGTTGATATTTTAGGTCGTTTACATGGAGTTTGGGGAACAGGAGCGCTTTTTTATCCAAGTAATTTCGAAGGCGTTGAAGATCGTCGATATCATCGAATATTTTGGGGACAAAATTTCATAGATTATAGGTCACCATCAGCTCGACATGCTACCAGTCTTTTACTTTCTGCTTATTAATTTTCTTTCTTTTTGTGCTTGAGAAATATTCCTTATCAAATGGTTATTTAATTTTTTCTCATTTTTTGATAAAATTTTTCTGGCAACTGAACGCCTCAGACTGAAGAACTTTTCTATACAAAAGTACCAAAAAACCTAAATAATTTGGGATTTGGCTCTTCCACTCTCATTTATAAATCTATTAATTGATTTATTGATTTATAAATCTATCATATGCTGATAAATGTTGGCGGGATCGCCTGTCATCATGTTTGTTTCTCTTTGGCTGCATAACGGCTCATTTGGATAAAACTGATTTAATCAAAAATTTTTCATAACCTTAAACAATGTTCATGCAAGTGGAAAATATAATCAGTTGAACTTGTTCAATTAGAAACTATGAAGATGCGACGAAGATATAAATTGAGATTTAAGTTGTTAATCCAAACATCGCCACCTTTTGCTTAACATTTCTGGTTAGATGCTCTTATCTGAAATTCGCCATGGAATTCCTGAGAACAGAAAAACAGATGACTCGCCAGTATCATCATAACCTGTTCCTTTTTTCCACAACGATACTACTCTTTTTAATCTAATTTTTCGAATTTATCGAATTTGTCGCAAGATTTGAGATCTTTGTTTTGCTCTTGTAGCTTATTCCATTCTCATATTCCTCCTTATCTTTCTTCTTTCACTTATTTATTTTATAGAAAAGGGAACCAGCTGTATAAAATTAGAGTGGCAATATCATATTTTATATTAAACCCATAAAGATGAGTGTAATATGGAAAAAATGATCGGTGAATCGGTGAATGAGTAGAATAGGTTTTGATGAAAAAAAGAATGATTAAAAGACCAAATAGACAGGAAAGAGTGGTTCTTTCTTTTCGTTAAGAACCAAAGTTTTGGCGAACTTTTCTTATACCTGATTGGACAGCTGTGTTATTTTCCTTCATGCTCACTAAGGCTTTCCACGCTATTTACGCTTTTCAATCGTCTATTTCACATTCGTAAAGTTGATGTTATATTTTACGGTTATCATGCATTTATTATTAACTTCCTGATATTCCAGGAAGTGTTTGTTACTCCCGCTGATGTGTACTGCTTGGCGCAGTCATCGCACTTAGGTACTTTTAATTAGGAAAAGTCCACACCTATCTCCAGGTGGCTCTCTGACTAAAATCTTAACACCAATATAATTGTCTCGTCGCATCCAGAAGGGCAAACTTCGGTGAGTGATGCAGAAAAAAGAAAACATCATTAGACTTTTTAACTTTTAGTTAAATACATAAAAATGAGATGTACACAAATAAGGACTTAAACTCCATGAATTTGGAAAGGAGAAAACCAACATCGATATTTTCGTTATTTGAAAAATGGGTCCGCAGGTTCCGCAGGGCTGGCATGCTGCTTAAGGGGTCCACTGCGCCAACCACCACAAAAAAATGAGAAACCATTGGTGGTTTCAGTGATTCCTTTATCAGTTCAACGAAAGAATAAAGGCTGATTAAAATAAGACTGTTTAAATGCTTTGAGGTTTATCAGCCCTTCGACGTGGTCTCTGTAGTATCCCTGGGTTCTCTCTTATTGCTACACTACTTCTTCACCGATCAAATCTTGTTTCCCTCTATTTCCTTATATTCCTTCGTTATTTTCCGAAAAAATAAAAAATATAATCGATCGATTTTGGTGTAATGTAATAAAGAATGTGCTTTTTATTTGCGAAAATTGTTTATTGTTGTGAGTAGAAGAGAAGTGCAGGTTTTTGGTGCGTCGGCTGCACAACGAGAAACGTTGTCAATCGATTCACAATTTTCATTCATTTTCATGAATTTACGTGGTTCCCGTGACGTGAATGCTTTACGTGGGGGTGGGGGGGGGGGGAAATTTATTTAATAAAATTTAAGAATTATAAAATAAAATTTAAGAAAGAAATTATTTGTCTTTATGTTAGTGTGTAATGATGAAATTTATCGACAACGTGTAAGTGATTCCATAAAGGGACCAGAGATCAAGTAAAGGTCAAGCAGAGGTCAAAGCGGGTTGCCCCCAAGTTTATTTTAATCATCTCTTCCTAATGCTTGACTTCATTCCTTCATTCGAAGCGATATCACCCACTCGGTCATTCGCTAATTTAGTTGGCATTAATGGATAAGGGTAAAGAAGTTACCATTGTTATTTATCGCGTCGGTTTATTTTGTGGTGGTTGTACCTTGGGTGCGTTTTAGGAAATAGGATAACATATCCGAGGTTATTTCTTATACGGCCCCCATCTGTTGTTTTCTCTTTTGGGTGCTTTTTAATACCCTTATTTTTGCAAAAATGTATATGTTTCTAACTGTTGGTCGTACCTTTCATTTTTTGGTGATATTCAGATGGTACCAGCGGACTCACCGTTTTTTTAAGTCTTTTTTTCCTTCAGTCTTTGATATATTTCGCGTTGAACCATTGATCTAGCCAAATATAAGGTCTGTGTGAATATGTTTTTTTCACACTTTATTAAAAATTAGTCCGCTAGCCCTTTTTATTGGCCATTTCCTAAAAATTCTTGCTTATTAAATTGCATAAATCAAGAAAATATCTTATTATCGAACTTTCTATCTACTCGTACATCGATATAATTATAATAAAGCAGTGAGTATAGGCCGTGATGTATTGCATAACAGAAAATGTGAATTGAAAAGAATTTAGAAACATGGTCGAAGACGAGATTCGAAAAGTGAAGATTGGCCAGGACGAATTTGGTGGATTAATTGGCGGAATCGCTGGCAACTTTTTGCAGCAAAAAATTGGTGGTGGGGCTGGCGACATTATTGGTGGTTTACTTCGTGGTGGGGGTCAGGGTGTTGATCGAGGTTGTGCTTTATAAACTTATGCAGTTTATTATTTGCTTAGATTGATCGCGCAGTTGACTTGAATTATATTAAATGACGGCATATTTTCAAGTTTCATTCCATTTTGCAAAATTTTCTAATTTTTCGCTCAAATTGTTTTTTTCAGGTGGATTTGATGTTGGCAATTTAATTGGACAAATTGTTGGCGGAGGAGGTGGCAGTGGTGGTGGTGGTGGTAATGGTTATTACGATGGAGATGGCAATGGTAGGGGAGGAGGGCGTTCTCGACGAGATTTTGCAGGTGGCAATGTTATTGGCGATATACTTGGTGGCCTGATATCAGGCGGTCGAGGGCCAAGTGCTGGTTATCGTAGCGGTGGTGGAGGTTGTTTAGTTGTTTATTATTATCTTTATTATTTTGTGACACTTATTGCATCAATTTCTTAATAACGTTTTAAAATTTTTAAAATTTAAATGGTTAATAAATTTAAATCTAATGAAATTTATAATTTTATTAAAATTTAATGCGGTTCTTTAATTATTCAATGGTTTTCCTAGAACCATCCTATTTTCAGGTGAAAATATTCCTACGAATTTTTTACAAGGTGGAGTAATAGAAATTTTATCAGAATTGATCGGAAAGGCGGCGCATAAATTTTTGGGTATTGATCCACAAACCGGCCGTATAATTGGTGCCGTTGCTGGCAATGTAATCTTCTCATTGGGTGGTAAAGATAATAAACTATCAGATATTGGCAAGATCATTCTTGATAATATCATTTCTGGAAATTTCAAAAGAAAAGTAAGGTTTTTGTTAATTATACATTTCGCATTCTTGGATCACACTTTGATTGCAGATAGGTTTAGATAGGCTATTAATACGGCTTTTTTAGGTTCAGCCTTTCGTACCACATGATCCTGAACCAGTCCCACGACCTACACCACATCCACGGCCTTCTGATGCAGCGCTTGATTTTTATGATGAAAGAGATCGATGTTTGAAGGTTAATTTTTCACCGTAAAGAAGTTAAGGATTTTTACAGTCTTTGTTGGTGCAAAAGAATAATGTGATTTTTTTTTTAGATTTAGCATTTTTCTTAAAGAGTAATTCTTCAGAAAAGTTTTCAGTCGAATACTCTCTTTGAGGATCCAGAATTCCCTGCCAATGATTCTAGTTTATTTTATAGTCGGCGCATTGATAGATATATCGAATGGAAACGACCAGGTGTAAGTGGTTTTCTTTATACATTTACATTTTCAAAAAATATTATTTAATATTAATAATATTTTCAACAAAATATTATTGTAAAGATAGTTTAAAGTTTTTTCAAGCAATGTGCAATATTTTGTGTTTTGTAAGTAGTTTGATTTTCAGGAACTTGTACGAGATCCACAGCTTATAACTGAAGGGCAAAGTCGTTTTGACGTAATTCAAGGTGAATTGGGTGATTGTTGGTTAATGGCTGGGGCTGCGAGCATCACTTTGCGAGACGAACTTTTTTATCGAGTCGTACCTCCAGACCAGAGCTTTACTGACAATTATGCAGGTTAACAAAATTTATATATAAGAAAGGCTTCATTTCACTTAATTTCAGGTTTTTCGGGTATATATATACTTTTATATCATATGTTATTTCGACTAAGGCTAGTTATCTTAGGCTTGATTTCTGTCCATTGATGAGAGTAATTAAAAATGAAATCCTAGTGATGCTGGGAATTATCCAATATTTATTTCTTTGTAATGACTCTCTAATAAAAAGTCTTATTTTTATAGTATTCAATGTAGCTAGCGAAACCAAAAATGATAAGGGCTTTTAAAGGAAATAAAGTATAAAAAAAATATATACAGTCATAAATTTTGCTTCAAAAACTTTTTCACCCCTTAAAGACCACCTCATCATCTAATATCTAAAGAAGAAATTTGGTGCATACCTGCCATAGCTATTTTTGATTTGTTGGAATAAATTATTAATTTAATTGGTAAATGAATTGAATGAAGTTTGAACATCAAGGATTCTTTTTTTGTCATTCCAGGAATATTTCATTTTCAATTTTGGCATTATGGTGAATGGGTCGATGTTGTCATTGATGATCGTTTGCCAACCTCTGATGGAAAACTACTATATATGCATTCGCGCGAGCTTAACGAGTTCTGGAGTCCATTACTGGAGAAAGCTTACGCCAAGTAGAAAATTTTTTCTTTATTTTAAATAATCGATAGATGTTTTGTGACAATTCCATCATATTTTACTCGAATTCTGTATACAGTTTTTTTTTAATAGATTGCATGGAAATTATGAAGCATTAAAAGGAGGAACAACGTCGGAAGCATTGGAAGATATGACCGGAGGACTAACAGAATTCGTAGATTTAAAACAGCCTCCAAAAAATCTTCTTCAAATGATGTTCAGAGGATTTGAAATGAGTTCTTTATTTGGATGCAGTATCGAAGTATTTTGCTTTTATCTCTTCATGCTTTAAGAAAAAAATTTTATGCTGATTCATGCATTTATAATTTCAGGCATCTCCCCTGGAATTCGAAGCTCGTACACGAGAAGGACTAGTAAAAGGTCATGCATACAGCATTACGGGAATGAGGATGGTCTATCATTCTTCAATTCAAAATTGCATTAATTTTACATAATTTTAATTGAAATATTTTCTTGCACTCAAATATTTTCTGGTTCTTTGAACCTTATGTCATATGAGTGTCCAATATTTTAAGGTGGAAACACAACAAGGAACAATTCCTCTTTTGCGCATTCGTAATCCATGGGGCAATGCTCAAGAATGGAATGGTGATTGGTCTGATAACAGTGCGCTTTGGGATTACGTTTCCTCTGAGCAAAAACGAGATATGAATTTGGTTCTTGCACATGATGGCGAATTTTGGTTAGTTTTTAATTATTAAGTCCTATCACATTTAATCATGATTTTTGCTATTTATATAATATAGTTTTGAAAAAGATGAAAAATACTATTGAGTTGAAGAGATTACGAAAAATTGTAAGAGATTAGTTGTGAGTAATTTCCTAAAATGTTTGAATTTTAAGGATGTCCTTCCAAGATTTCATGAAACACTTTGATAAAATGGAAATATGCAACTTGGGGCCTGATGTTATGGATGAAGTGACTGAGATGACTGGAGTATCTATGTCACAAGCTGGCTATAAAACTTGGAATGCTAGGACGCATTTAGGGGTCTGGAGTGGTCAAAGCGCCGGTGGTTGCCGCAACTATCTTAGTGATTTTTTAATGCAAGTTTGAAAAGAAATGAGTTTTTTTTTGCTATCGATTAATAGCTTTTGTTATTACTTTATTGTGAATAATATAATTGTATAATTTCAGATTCCTTCGCATATAATCCTCAGTACTGTATGACTCTATCGAGTGCTGATCCAAACGATGCTGATGGCCTTTGTACAGTTATTATCGCTGTTCTTCAAAAATATCGGCGTGAATTAAAGCCAAAAGGGATCGAGAACTTGGCTATTGGTTTTGCCGTCTATGAAGTTTATATGAATTTTGACAATTTTGATAAAATTTTTTTGAAATTCCATAAATCCATCGAAAGGTTGACAGAAATAGTCATCTTTAAGGTTGATGATTATCGTGGTCGCCTGGGGCGCAGCTATTTTGCTACGAATAAATCTATTGCCCGAAGTGCTGCATTTATAAATCTACGCGAGGTTAAATCTTCAATATATAAATATATAATGGGGCAAAGAAAGTTAAAATTTTCATTTCGAAGCTTTAATTGTTTCAAAATTTTTTGAAATTTTAATTTTATTTGATTAAAAAAATTTATTTTATTAAAAAAATTTGATATTTTTGTTAAATTTAATATATATATATTTAATATCTTTTTCTTCAAATAATTCTCACTATTACTGGTTAGGCTGGCTCCACTGGCTATAATGATAAGGCGTTTCCAAGCGATGCGGTCTGACGCCATCGTTGACAGTAATAGAAGTCATTCCTTATACGTTCAAAATCTTTTCTGACCGTATCAGTCCAGGTCTTGATTGGCCTCGTTTTTGACGCCAACCATCACACGGTTTAGCAAATAATGAGATATGCGTCAACTCCTGTGGTGGACGACGAAGAACGTACCCTAACCAACGAAGGCGATACAACATTATTTATGCAGGTGGTGTTTGAACGAAGGTGTATGCGATCATGTGATATCTTATCCGCTCGATCCGTAATATGTACTTTAGACAAGAGTGGTTAAAGGCAGATAACTTCTTTTTGCTGCCGTGATTCACTTCGTCATAACTGTCAGTAAAAAGGAATAAATCATCAGCGTATTCAAGATCTGTGATACGATGCTCTGGATAAATTCGGATACCTCTTGAGTGCCGACAAGCAATGTCCATTATCCAGTCTATCGCATAATTGAATATTGTAGGGGAAAGACGCATCCTTGACGGACACCAGTTCTTATTTCAAAGGAGTCTGTTAGCTCCACATACACACATACCAGCGCAGACGTGCGCTCATAAAATGCCTTTATGAGTCGAATGATTTTTCCTGAGTCGCATTCCATTACCCTTCAAAGTGCCGTCTTATCAATTAAATCGAGAGCAGTTGATGAAACACGTGACAGTGGGTTGCAAATATATGAAGCGATGTTTCAATACCGTTCTTAACGTGAATATCTGGTCAGCACAACTGCGCCTCGGTTTGAATCCAGCTTGATTAGGACGCATCCTGCTGTCTCGTAATTCCATAAATCTATTGAATAAAAGGGAAGCTGAGACGTCTAATAGGTTAATTCCTCGATTATTGTCATAGTATGTCCTATCACCTTTTTTGAGAATGGGAGCAGAATTGTTTTGCTCCAATATTTCTTTTTCCCATACCAGAGAGTATATTTGTTGAAGGTGTGTTCTGAAGGATAGACAATATTTGAAGAGTTCAGCTCGAAGACCATCTTCTTCCGGAGTCTTATTGGCTTTAAGCTTATGGGTAACGGAAATTATTTCTTTTTCTGTTGGAGGTTCGCAATTGAAAGCATACGTTTTGGCAAATATATCAGCTATATCAGGGACAACAAATGGTTAGTGGTTAAATTTGGCCTCAAAGAATTCCTTCCATCTTATGAGGCGATCCTTAGTACACTTGACAGGCATATCATTGCTATCCCTCACCATTTTACTGATCGTTTCCGAATTATAATTGCTTTATGAAGAAGGTGGAATAGTTTCCTGTTATCGCCTAATCGAGCCGCCGTCTCCATTCTCGGCCATGCAATGATTTGTGTCCCGCCATGTTGCTGTTATTGCAATTCTTCGAAGCATCTGGTAGTTAGGATCTCCTTGACATTCATACTTTGGTTTTTTCAGACAGTTGGGCAATTGTTTTCGATACCCAACTAGTGCATCTCCAATATGCTGTAGTGTGGAAGTGGCTGACTTTCGAAGGCATTCCTTTAGTTTGGACCAGTATTCGTTTATCGTTCCAGAAAAGTCGATATTTATGACATTGAGATGCTTCAATTCGATTTGAAACGCGCTGGCCCTCTCTGAATTTTTTAGTTCGAAGTAGTTGAAGGAGGATGTTTTTTGCGAGTTGTCAATTTTAGCTTGGACCAAAATATGATCTTCAGCGCCGCGATAGGAACTATTTAGTACAGAGCTCTTCCAGCGTCAACTGACCAATCAATCTAATTGAAATATTGGTTATCCGCGACTTCTCCGAAACGGAAAGCATGTGGCACCATATGATGTTTCGGTTAGCAGTTGAAGTTCCTTATCTTTATCGCGGTCATCTGTTGATAAAGTTGAAGAATAGATATTGATGACCGAGATATTGCAGAACTTGAAAGCGGGCATCGACCACATAGATTCCACTCAATTAAAGCGGAATGGGCCTTATCAAACATATCGCTATTTCGCTTCGAGTTAACCAAGGCACCATAGTGATATAGCTGGACCTCTACTTCTAGCCAGGATTAGTAATTACTCGAGACTTAAAAAGAGGGAGACGGTCTTCCGACAAGCAGGCAAAGGGTGTGGATGTGATGGCTTGGCTTGGTAACGTTCTGACACGCTGATACTGATACCTCGTTGCGCTTGCAGAGATCTGTTCCCCTTCATAGGCTCCGAGCAATTGTTCTGGTTTGCGACCAGGACAGTTATACTTATGAATTATTTTACTTATGAACCTTGGGATCGTATACTCATCAGCGATCTGGGAATATCAGGCTCGAAAGGCATGGACATCGAAAGAAGAAGGCCAGGATTATCAAGAATATCTAACCCATAGAGTCACTTGGGGATAGAGTTCCAGGTGGATCCCCACCAGCCACCCGGATTTTTGACAGGTTTAATCCTGTCGAAGATAGACAATGTTAAATTAGCATAAGATGATAGAAAAATAAAATAAAAAATCAAATTTAATGAGAGAAAAGAAAAAGAAAAAAAAACTTATCGTTTACGATGATCAAACGAATAATCGATAACTAGTAATACTCAAAAATAATTGTTATTGCTATACCTTGGTAGAGATAGCAGTTACATGAACCGATCCAATCGCTTACTAATTGTTCTTGAATTGTTCACTAAAATATCACTAACATAGAAAAAAAGTGAGATTAGAGGAACAAAAATTGGATTGGCCTAAAGTTTTAAAATTGAGCGAAGCGCTACATTCTTATCTACGGATCCAACCTAATTTTTATATGTTAACTCTTAGAAGAAGAATAATTTTGAATTTATTACCTTAATCGAGTAGTAAGATAGGTTCTGTGTATTGTATTTACCTATCATTTATGTGATGATGAAATTTTTGGCTGTGGAACATAGCAGAGAATAATATAACGAAGAGCGAAAAATTAGAACATTCATTCATCAAGGCCATTGGCAAGTTCCATTACTCTAAATATCTATAAGATGGTCTTCTATATTTTTATATAGAGAGGGAACAATAAAAATTTTGGGCGAAGTTATTTAATTTTGGAAATTTTTGCTGTTTCTTCTGCATCTTTATTTTTAGGTTACTGGCAGATTTCGCTTGCCACCTGGTATTTATGTCATTGTTCCCTCTACTTTCGAACCTGGTGAAGAAGGCGAATTTATGTTGCGAATATTTTCTAATGTGGTCGTTGATTCAGAGTAAATATTGAACATTTTGTCAATTATATGATATTATAGCAAAAAAACCAAAAATCTATTTCATATTATATTTCAGGGAACTTGGTTGATTGTCCAAATCACAATATTTGTTACAAATTTTTTCCGTTCCAGTCGGTTTTTGTCGCACTTGCCTTAAAATTTTCGTGAATTCACTAAGTAATTTTGTTCATCGAATGCTCTTAAAATTATATTCTTCTGATTCGTTTTCTTTTTATTTTGATTAAGGATAACAATTTTGTTTGATTAATATTAATATTTTAGTAATTAAAGGTTGTAATTTGAGATAAGAGCATTGCTCACTAATTTTTACTTCTTAATTTTTCTTTTGTCTTTACAGAATTTTACATTTTACATCTTTAAATAAAATATAAAATAGTAATAAAAGAAATTTATTTATAATATGAGATTATCCAAAATTATTCAAAATATAACCAAATCTGTGACGAAAGTCAATTAATAACAGTTCTCAAATTTATATGACGAAGTCAGTTCGCTTTAATATTTGAATAGGCAAAAAGGCAAGGTGGGAACGGTTATCACGAATCATCGTTATCACTATGTTTCAATGATTTATCATAAGTAAAGAGTAAATTGTAAGATGTCGATAATGAACAATAACGAACAAGAAATATTTCAGTCGAGTGGAAATAACAAAATATCAATTGATTAAATCATTTTCAAACGGACGGTTTTTTTTTCTTCGAAGTTAAAATCAGCATCGATTAATCTTAATTTTTAGTTCCAAAATGCTAATATAAAGATTTTGCGTTTCACATTTCGCTAGAAATCCTAGAAATAGGGAGGGATGTTAGTGGTGGTCGCAAGGAGGATTCTGCCTACGATGGAAGTGAACCTGTATTAATCATTGGGGAGTTTTTAATTACCAATTGACACTGGTAAAAGTCGTCAATGGAGTGAATTTAACCAGAAATGCCACTTTAGATGCTATAAGCTGATTATCAGTCGATTTATTGGTATAGTAAGTGGGCCTGCGTTATGTAAAGAAATAAGACTTGACTCACTCACTGTATTTGGTTTTCCGGTTAGGCTAGCAGGAGTATAAATAAATCGTCACTCAGGTATTTTAGTAACGTTTATTCCTGTAGGGGCAAAGGAATCGAAAGGAATCTGACGTCGGGCACACTGAAGAAACCGTGCCGCTCGACATTCTTAGCAGTTTATCAAATTTCATTCTATTGTTTCCTTCGATTTCACTATTTTATTGGGTTAATAAAATAAATTAATGATATTAAAATTTTGATGTGGATCGTTCTGTTTTTTTTAAATGTGTTTTTCTAAGGAAAAGTTCTTCCTTCCACTGAGGTGAAAAATGAAATCCGTTTGTGGACCTGCTGGTGATTAAGAAATTTTCGCGACAAAATAAAAATTTGGAATTTGTGAATTATTTTTCATTGTGGACGATTTCTTTAAAAAGGTTTTTATTTTTTTTATTACGAACAGAACGTACGTAAATAGTTTCGTGTCTTTGAAAGGAGAACCTGTCAGTAAAAAATCCGGGTGGTTTTGGGAAGCTAGCTGTAGTTCTAACGCTGAATAGTTGGCTCTCTGGCAAAGATTTCTCCTGCTAATAGCGAGTAGAAATTCTTAGCGATATTTTTCATTGCTTTAATTAATGCCTTCAAAAATGGCGAAATAAGGTGGTTACTATAAAAAATTTGTTTTTACTATATATATTTATTTATATATGGTTTCTTCAGCTTATATCTTATATCTTTCCTTATATCTTTATTCAAAAATAGCGGTCCAGAAAGCAATAAACTTCGTTAGAAATCGCTGGAAATTTTGGAATGCTATTGATTTGGTGCGACAGCTCCATCATCACAGCACCACCTGCACCATTACCAGCGCTGTTTTCATCAATATTTCTTTTTTTTCGCGTTTCATATTGCTTTCGTAGTTTCTATTAGTAGCTTTCTCCTCATTTTAATACTTTTTCCTATTTTTTGATCATTGTCCTTCACGAATTGCTTTATTTCAAATGTTCCATGCATGCATGATAAATGGGCTTGTCAGTCAGTGAAGAATCAAAGAGAATTCACCGACAATCATCATACATATTATGGAAGTCTTTGGCCGATTGCTTTATTACCTTCGTGTGTTGTTACGCTAATTTATTTTTATTATTTCTATTTCTAGACGAAAATCCTTTACAGAAATCTCAAAAATCTTCTCATTTCTCTTTTCCGCTTTCCAAGACCGTATTTAGAATTTCTAGTTTGGTTCCTCCGCTGGCTATTAGGATGAGATTTCTTAGCGAAATAGTCACTTGGGGATTGAAATAAAGATTGGTCGATCTGCCAACTACTATTCGCATTTCATTTCATGATATTTTTGTTCCCATCAAGTGGCCAGTATAGGACATATTTTATTGCCTTATTCTGTTCCAGTTAAACTATTTATTCTTTTATTTTATCATCATTCAGTGTGTAAATTCAGTTTTCGAAACAATGTAGTTTCTGTGACCCCTTTCTTTGCATTGTTGTTTTCCTCAAAGTTTCTGGTAAAGTAACAAAGAACTAAGTGGTTAATGCCTAATGCCATTTCTAGTCGCTCTCTTCAATGAATATTAGTTTGGCTAAAAATTTTTCCAAGAGAATTACTTAGGGATAGCAGTATAGAGGGACCACTACGGATCTATTATTTAATATGTTCACTCTTGCCAAGGGCAGGAGGCGAACCGCTCGACTCTCCTCGAGGAAACAATAGGTTTCATTTAAAGGAAGTTCGATTTTTCTCTTCTTTATCGTGCACAGCTTCTGGTATCCTCTTTCTAATCTTTTATATCATTTTTTTTCCTCTTTCATTTTTCCGTTCGCTTGATCACCCGCCCTCTGGTCATGCTGAATCAAGAATTTTTCTCCTAGCAGCACTCGTCATTTCTGGTGTAGTTAGAATGTCTTACCAAAGAGTCAATCATAAAGAAATATAGAAATATAGCTCCACAGCACCACCTGTTTCTTTTCCTTTTTTATCGCAAAGGTTTTTTTTCAAAAAATTTATAAATAAACTTTACCACAGATTTATTTTTTCGATCATTGCATAAATTTCCGAGTCAAAAAGTTCAAAATTTTAATTCGCATTTTCGGAAATAAATTTAATTATTTATTTTAATTACTTAATTATTACTTAAATTTAATTACTTAAATTTTAATTACTTAATTATTTTAATTTTTAATTATTTTAATTTACTTTTGGACATTTTAAAGAAATCTGAAAAAAATTGCATAAAATTAGTTGAAAACGCAAAAAAAACGAATTATTATTATTTTCCGTTCATCTGTTCAGTTCGTATTAGTCTACATGTGCACTCCAGCTGTTGGTTATTAGTTGAGTGAAGCTCAACATCTATCGTTTCACTTCATTTTGTTTCACTGACACTTCGCCCTCACGATGTTCCGCCATAGCATTTTCTTCCTCCAGTAGCACTCTCCCCTTCTATTTGGCTGGGTTATTCACTGAGTAAGACACTTGAGACACTTGAATAGAGACGTATTTGCTCTCAAGTACAGTCTGAATTTCCCTATTAATGGCAGTAAACAGCAGTCGATCCTATGATGCTTAACCGTGGTCGAAGCCGACCTTGAAAATTTCTTTTCAGTTCCAGTTTTGTCATAAGCATCTTTTTCTCACGCGTGCTATTGGTTAGACGCCGCCTACGCCAAAGCTGAGGCTTTGCTTTTCTAGCCTCTTCAGTCGATGTTATATTTAAAAGTAAAATAAAAGAAAAGAAGCCACTAATTTTTCTGCCAACTAAGCGCATTCTTCGCGCAAACTTAAGCAGCGTTCCAATATCGGAGCTTCATTCATAATTTCCATTATGAATTTACTGTGACAAGTCAGTTGTTTTTTTATCGCTATTTCCTATAAAAAAACATGGAATTGGGCGCACAGATAATTATTTAACAAATTAAAAAAAAAGTTTTGCGAGAATAAAGGTAGTTTTATTATAAACTGATAAGAAAGGTAAAGGTGGACATCAAAGGAGACCGAAATTGATCAGTAAGTTCCTTTGATCTTACCGCGCCTACGTGTCGACCTTAATTTAATGATGGACGATTTCTTCTAAATACTTTGGGAAAAAGTGGCTTGCTTAATTGAATCTGTCAACGTCCCTTCTGCATGCTTTCGAATACGTCAATTCTAAGCTTTTTTTATTCTTTTGCTAGCAACATCATTTATGGTTCGGCTGACTCCACTAACTTAGTACTTTTTTATCAAAGAATCGGTTACATGCGAATAGAATTATTAAGGTGGTCGGTCGGACCCTCGGTCCCTGTAGAAGTAGCGTTCCACTCGGCTATCTATCCCTATGTATCCCATAAGCAGTTTTTTCCTTTTTCAAAAATTTTATTGAAAACTGATTTTTAGTAAAAAAAATTTCAGATGAAAATGAGAATGATAGTTTTATTGATCTCGCGTCTCGTCTTGGACACTTATTACATAAGGAATATATTTGCCTTGGAGACTATGCAAAATTCGATATTTATTATTTAGGATGGATGATGATCCTTATCGAGAGTCGTCAAGTGGTGAGAGTGGTCGAGACGGCTGGCTATCTGCAGCGCCACAGCTAACTCACACAGCCAATATTTGCTTTATTTTTTCCGTATTTTGCTTTCCTATTTAAATTAATTGCAGTTATGCTATTTTTTTAATGACTGAATACAGCAAAGCTCAACCTAAATCTTTCAAGGTTTATTTGGCTGGAAAAAATTTACCGGACTTAAGTTTCTGGATATGGCTCGTCCTTTTAAGGTAATCTATCTGTCCTCTTTCGTATAATCGTATAGCTGCGGTCTAATATTTTTAAGGACATAACTTGTTTAAGTAGATATGGGTATGATTCGTACAACTGCACCTGAGCATTTAATTTGTAAATATTGTTCGTGTTATTTCTGGAAATCACTCTTATTATGTAGCTCAACTTTAAATTATTAGGTAATCATTTACCAACAGCTGCAA